CAGTTTCATCTCATACAGCCAGTTTGAATAAAAATCCTGTTTAAATACCTCAAATTTACGACATTCGTCTCATGGTAAAAAAAAAAAAGAAAATAAACAAAACAAACAAACAAACAGTTCTTGGTGCCGAGAGTGGCACAACCAGATTTAGGAGAAAATGACTTTTTCACATGGGACCAGGTAGGTCAGGACAGCCGTTTCCCGTTATATCAAAACTGAATCAACATTTACTCAGGTCATCTTTGTCTAATATTGAGATTCATTGGATCTGAAACAAAAACGCAAAAAAAACCTTTCGAAAGGCTGTCAATGCTTTTTCACAGCATTGTGTGCACAGTGCGTGCAGGTGGATTTCTGACTGCCTCTATGTGTATTATATAGCTGAACACTCTAACTACTTTTACTGATAGGTTATGTAAACCTTTGACATAAATTTTAGAATTTCGACTGTTTGTTCAACCACATTAGATCTGAAATGAAACAATAAAAGACAGCAGGTGAGGCCTATTTGTTTACAGATGTGCTAACTTGCCCTTCCTCTATCATTCAGAGTTAGCAGCACCTGTTGGAGGGTTGTGGAGCTATGAAAACCTGTTATTTGGGATGTCAGTGGGTGTCCCAACATCCTCGGTGTTCTGTGAGTTCTGGGATCCTACAACTATCTACCCCAGGTTTTCCACAGTCTGCTCACTTTCCTGCCCAACATTGATCATTTCTTTTCTACTGCAGCTGCTGACTGCAGCTTTCTGCCACCTCTGATGTTGTCTTGATGGTTTACTTATACTTTCATCCCCAGGTCCTTATGTGGTTTTATTGTGGATGTTCCTGCAAAGCCCCTGCTTGCAAATTCCCCTGGGAAGATTTTCTCTTTCAAGCCTTGCTGCACTACTTCCATGCAATTTGCTACGTTATACCAGAACATCTTCCTCTCAAATGTACTGTCACAAGGGACTGTGGGTTTGACAAAGTAGGTCATTTGTGTTTAGATCAGAGCCGCAAGTCTCGCCTCAAGTAGGTGATGGGAATTTCTAGAGGAATTGTAAACGGGTTGATGACCACCAACATCTTACAGTCCCCTTATTCCATCCAGTAATCTTCTGCTTCCTCTGATTTACTGCTCCATCTTGGACAAATACTATCAACTGGTTTGTTCTGCTTGTTTGTTTGGCCATTGCATCGTTGCATTGATGCTTAAAAAGTGCTACAGAGCATAAGAAAGATAGGTTTTAACCTACTCAATCTTTAGGATTTTGAGCTTAAGAAATCTGGATGCAGAAAAAAAATATTTATGTAATAACATAAAGAGAATACCATTGTATTACATTAAATAACAGTTATATTTGCAATCATTTTACAAATAAAATAAATATTTTCTGTAACCAATTCATCCAAATCTGCACATTCATCCCTCAATACTTGGAAAAATGGATTCACTTGGAAAATAGCATTTTCTGAAATGCCTTTTCTCTAAAAATAAGAACACTCCGGATCTGGGTAGTTTATGTGGGTTTCAGTAAATATGTCAATATTTCCAACAGCCTTTGAAGTTGGTGTGAGCTCAAAGTCTCACACCTGTGTAAGCTCAAATTTCTAGACAACCAACTGTAACTGCGAAGAACCTTGGAAAACACATCCTGTGCCTATGCGAGTGCCAAAGACATATTTGGTATCTGCAAATAACGGGTTTTTCCCTGTGCCCATATTCAACTTGTCAAGCAACTTTTATGAAATTCAGGCTGGCATTTTTTATTTATTTTTTGCTTAATCCTGCTAAGAAATAAGAATGTTTCCAGACCTCCACCTTGCCTTTGGCCTCTGCTGATGAATAAGGCTGTTCTAAAATTAACGTGAAAGACACAATATGCTGACTGTAATATAGTGTTCTGATTGTGAGAGACAGTATTCAGACTTTTATACACCATCAAACACATAATTACGCTCTCTCACACCATGCTGATGCAGTGCTGTTGCCCTCTCTGGATCAAACCACATGTAGGGGAGAATGTGCTGGCAGCAGCAGAAAGAGGGCGATGAAATGATGCAGCAGATATCGGACAGAAAGAGACCAGGATTTTTTCTCACAATCAGCTGTGACTTAGTTGGCGTACATTGACAGAACAAGCTGCTCTACTGACAACAAAGGAGATCTGATATGATAAATTGTAGTACGCCGCAGAAATGGCATTCACATGAATGTAGATAGACTATATTTGTCAACGCATCTCAGGTGTTCGTGACGCCAGGGATAGTTGTCTGACCTTGACTTGCATGTGTGAGGGATTTTGTGGATACAGTGCTGCAAGCTTCTACCTGCTGTAAACTAGAGTGGCATGTGACATATTATTAAGTATAAAAGAAAACAATACAACACTCCTGTTTTGTGTAAGACACCAAATTAATCTTCAGATTCAGTATTTCTGGCCAAGGGTTGGATGAGAATGCTACAAATTTACTGTGATTACCATGACAACCATGAAGCACCAGCCAACATTAGCTTAGTTTCAAAGAGAGGGGAAAAAAAGACGCTTATGCTCTTTTCTTTTAGCTATTAGTGAACCTGAAACAAGCTGCTTAACAAGTTTTTTGATTGATTTGCTTATTTTTGTGTCTTCTTGTGTTATTAAATCATAATGTGGAAAGAATGTAGTACTTAAACAACATGTTATTAGCTGTTTCCCATATTGACTTGACAATATTCTTGTCAGGGTTACTGCAAATCTTTCAAGTCAAAAAATGTCATTCATATTTACAATTTCAAAGCCACTAATTTTTCTAATTATTCCAAAACTTTATAAATAAATCACACATTTTGAAACAAGTAAGGATTCTTAAATATTACATGTTTAGTTGAAATGAAAAGAAAAGCATCAAATACAAAAGCTCTTCTCAAATGCATTTGATATGCTGACTAATGCCGTTGCCCTATGGTATGTGGGATTGTAGGACTGAAATGCATTCATATTTATACATCATTAATAATGATTCATTCAGCAAGGGCATCTGGTTAAAAAAATCTGCCAATTCAAATATGCAGAGCTAAGCCCTTTGGCAACCCCTTGTGAAAAAGGGAGCAGGAGAAAATAACATTTACATATATAAATATAGCATCGGCAGAGATTATTCTGCATACTAAGTAGTTTAATTTTGATAATTTAAGTAGCTTTTTAACGACATAACTCATACTTACAGATATTTATGTTCACATCTACATTTCATACTCTCGTAACTCGATGATAAGCTTCGACTTGCACATGCTAGTTAGGGGGAAATGATGTTTCGGTCCTGTGTATGTTTTGTACATATTTCAGAATTGACAATGAAGTTGCCTATGATATTGACTTTTGACCTTTTTATTACTTTTATGCTAAATGGCAATACAGAATTTGTAACTAATTCAGTATCGTTATCAAAAAGAAGAACCTTTATTTTCACAAACGACTTGATTACGTCTTCAGTCTCCTACGTTTCTGTTTTAATTCTATTACATCACTTAAGTAATTTAAATCAATGTTAATGTTTTTTTGTTTTTTTGTTTTTAATGGTGTCATTTAATGAACCATAGTCACAGTGGGAGTTGAAATGTCACAAATTTAATGCCATAACAGACATCAACAAAATGCAACACTGTTAGTTTCTACTGTCTCAGTGTCAACAGGATGTTTTCTCACACACATTGATGCTGCTGCTTTAAGGATGAAGAATTGTTTTATCATCAGAGATGGTGGTTATTATCCTCCAGAGAAAAATAATTTATCACAAAGCACTAAGGTGACCCCATCTGGCGGAGGGTTGGTATTACATAATGGATTCAGCCTTAGTTATAGTTTGCACTCATTCACTCACTCATGCATTCATTTGTATTATAGTGGGTGGTTGTTAGTAATGAGGCGTAATTATAAATGTGTGCTTGTTCAGTAATTTGTTCCTCCTGTCCTGCTTGTTTTGGTAAAAGGAAGTAGACTACAAAAGGCATTTGATTAAAAAAATAAATAAAAATGAAGGAACAGAGCATGCCAACAATTCAGTCATTATTCACAGAAGCATTGGTGTCGTGTGGTATGTGAAGCCTGGCCTCAACAATCCAGGTTCATTATTTCAAACTCCACCCACTTAATAAAGCATATTTCTCAGCACTGCTAACAATGGGGAGTTTTGTAATGTACTACAAGTGCTACACTGCACAAGATCAGAAGAAAAATAGCCACAACCTTTTAAAAGTAATGGACAAATAAAACTGTGGGAAAGCTATTAAGTACAAACGTCTTCTAAGGGTCCAATTGTTACTTGTTGAAATACATAAATACATTGTAATTCTTTAATTATGGTAAATGGTACCAAAAGTTCATACTGGATCAACTAATCATGCTAAAAGCTACATATATATATATGTGTAGGTTATCAGTGATCCAGGTTTTGGCAGGTGGGGGAGTCCCAGGTATTTAAACCCTAGTGAGGGTTGTCCCTGGACACCGTGGAGGGTTATATGAACCTGGACAGGTTGCCAGTCTATCTTAAGGTTAACACAAATATAATGTCAATAGACGTAAAAATTAAAATAGTATAGATGTTGCTCCATAAATGGGCTGTAAAATAAAATAATAGCAGTGGCATATAATATTATTTCTAATGGAGACACTGCAAAAGATAAACCTGGATAATTATTTAATTATTACATTTTTGTGTGGCTCATGTTCTATTACCATGTCATGCAATTTTAAAAAAATCATGTGAAAAAAATACATATACATTTATTAGTATCACAAAGTTACAGTTTAAAGGTGTAATTTTTGGAGGCAGAAAAGCTCTGTTTAATGTTTTCTTTATCCAAACTTATTAAACATACGTAACAAAAAAAACAAAACCCAAACAACTAAAAAAAATCAGTAAATTTTCCTGAGATAATTTTAAGTTGTTCATTAAATTATACTTGTACAGATGTATAACACATTTCCCCGCACATCAAATCACAGGCTCTGCGCATGTGTGTTAACAGACGACCCGGAAGTGGCACAGCTTTATAAAGAAAGGAATCTTTTCAGTAAGGAGGAGGACGTTGTGGAACGTCGAGAAGGTGAGAGTCCTCGCTTTGGTCTTATAATAATCAATCAATCATTCGCGAATGTATTTTAATTTTGAAAAGAAAGCCTTTTCTTTAGCTGCAGTGCGTTTCATTCGATTCCTGTGAAGCAATGACTCAGAATATGTGTTAAACGAACGTTTTGCTAATTACCTTAATAGTGTGCAATGTCACCTGGCTTTTCAATGCACTCTCTTGCCACCATGTTTCACTGTTATAGTTAGGCGTAAAACATATGTAATGCTTTTATTTTTGCCCAATCTTAATAATAACAACGCATTCTGCGTTATTATTAAGATTGGGCCTGCAAGTGTAAGTTCACTTAGAGCTGGTACATGATGTAACCTTCAGGAACCACTCCCCAACGGCTTCTTGTTTTAGAACTTTATTTATTTATTTATTTATTTAATGAACTTTATTGGACAAACAACGAGTATACAACATACAAACAGATGAAGTATACAAAAGAACAGAACATGAACACACAAAACCAGAGCTAAAACTCTTGCTTCATTCCTGCCTGCTCTGGTAATGTTTTATAAATGTATGTAAGCCTTATCCTTAATGGAGGGAGGATTTATTTGAAGATCATTGAATTAAACTATGTTACTTGCTGGCTGTAAGATGCACTGCAGCAGGAAGTACTTGTATTATCTGCAGGCTGACAAAATGTCTTCAAAGGACGTGACACATAGGGAAATCTTCCTTTGAGTAAACCACACATGTTTCAATAGAAAGATTAGTAAATACGGTAACTCATAAGGAAGCAGACATCATTTAGATAGCACAAATATTTTTAGCTTATTTTTTCAGTATATATTTCCTGGTTACGTTCTTGGTGTTTTTAAATGGCAAAAAAAATGATGAAACGTTTTTGTTGTGTGGTGCCTTTATGTCATAGGTGTCAAACTCTGGCCCGCGGCCAAATTTGGCCCGCAGCCTAATTACATTTGGCCCGCGAAGCCAAACCAAATTACTATTAGAGCTGGCCTACTGGTATTATACAGCTAATATATACATTGTTTAGTATTAAGCTTTGCTTGTTCCACATTCAGTTTTTCAGCAAAACTTGTTTGAGTCCATAAGAAGAGATTCATTCTTAAATCTGGAGGAAGATATTTTTCAATAAATATTAATGTTAGCCCGCGACCTTGTTCTAGTTTTGAATTTTGGCCCACTGTGTATTTGAGTTTGACACCCCTGCTTTATGTGATAAACTTGGTCACTGATATTAGTCGACCAACAATTACAGTTTTTTTTTTTTTTTTTTTTCTGATGTTTGCTGGTATGATAATGTTCCATAGTTTCATTTCAGTACAGTTTGTCCAGCAGAGAGACATAAACTATTACATCTTTAGTACTGGCTGTAATATTACTCCCCTGTAAGTTGATTAGAAAATTAAACATTGCTAGTATGAGCCAATCGTGCCAATCATTGGGTGCGCTGGTTAACTGATGGATGTAATATATTAAGAAGCAGGCTGCTCCTGTTTGTTACAGGCCCACATCTTGTAGATGAGAGGGCTGCACAGCAGAAAGAGATGCTGTAATTCTGCACTGCACAGATCTCATTCTTCCCTTATACAGAGTATATAGTTAAACAGATTCTCACTCTATATGCACTTTGATCCACATAGTGTTAATAAAACAAATTTCAACAACAAACAGCACAGCCTTCATAAGGTGACACAGTATTGTATGCCAAGCAAAGCTGTAAACTGCATGGTACTGTAAAGACAATTGAATACTATTCTTATTTTACTTGAGAACTGGCTCAATTACTTATTTTCTGTTAATTTGTTGTCTGTGTGGGACCACAGGAGACAGCCCCTGTAGATCTGCGCTGGCTTTTTTTTTTTTTTTTTTTTTTGATACCAGATGTCCTTCCTGACCCCCCTAAGGGATTTGTGTCTCCTCCATTATCGTCCAAGTCTTTCCTGCACATATTTGCATTCTTTGCATTCCCAAAAACAACCAGAGAAGCCAAATCCTGTGTGATCCACAGCTCAGATAGAGAATACCGTGTATATAAAACAAGGTTTTACTGTATATAAAATAAGGTTTTTAAGGCAGTTAGTGTAGAGGAAACACTCCACCCAGCAATTCCATGAATAGCTGCTCTGTTACCTGACTTGCTGCACGTCCTCCTTTTTCTTTTTTTTCCCCCCCCCTCCCTTCTCTCTCGTGCGCTCTCCTGGCCTCTCTCTCTTTGCTGCCCACTGCCTCATCGCCTCTTTGTCCTATATTCTGTTTTTAGAACAACAACAAAACCAGGAGCGATGGATCAGATGAGATTGGCGTTTAACGGCGTGGTACGTTCACAGCCTACATTTTGCACATTGTCACGTCTTTATCATTGTTTGTATCATGAGCAAACTGATAAAACGGAAGCAATCGCAAAGTGACAAGCTTTGTTTAGCTTTTTTGTTTGTTTGTTTGTTTGTTTTTTATTAAAAACAACTGTAGCATTGTCACTACTTATGGAGCTGCTGAATCTGGAGCGTGTCGCTCTCATAGTTTTCACTCTGATCTTCTCCAGGTTAGAAGTGTGCGTTACAGCAGGTTCCCCCTGCAGCCCACAGAGAATGGAGAAAGGCATCTGGAGGTCAAACTGTCTGAAGATGGCACTGAGGAGTTTACAGACGTGGAGGCCGAGGGCTCACCAAGCTTCAGGCCGGCACCTCAAAATTATAGCCGGTGTTCCATTGCCTTCCTGCTCCTGGGAACCCTGCTGATATTGATCATTGGTAGGTTATGCTCTGAAAACCTCTTATACTAATCAAAGTCTACAGAAAGGAAAATGACTCTCTTTATGTACTTTGTATGTACTACATTTTAATCGGTTTTGGTGTGTGCTGTGTCTTCCAGGCTATCTGGTTGGTTATATCAGTCACAGTAAACCTAAAGTGGAGTTGCTGAACTGCAGCCCAGTGACACAAGCTCCGGTTGCGCAACCTGCAGAGGTTGAGATGGACTTCAAGAACATCTCTCAACTTCTTGCGAGGAAAATGACCAGGGAGGCCTTTCAAAAGACTCTAGGGTACACTGAATATGCACACACCTTCAAACCAAACACACATTTAATGTCAAGCATTTCAAGACTAAATTGAGATGCCAACAGAAAAAGTAAATAAGATGTCCTTTCTGCAGGGACTTTGAAAATCCCGGGTGTTCAGCAGGAAGTGATAAAGACATGAGTTTGGCAAACAGCATCTTTGATGAATTCAAGAAACTAGAGATGGATCCCTGGACAGACATCCACGATGTTCAGCTGCCGATCCCAGACAGGTACCTGGAACTTAAAAAAAAAAAAAAAGTTTTTTATTTAATTAAATGATTGTGGCATTAAATCAGAGGGAGGCTTTCTATCTCTGTGATTTCCTGATTTGAGTTTTGCACGCCAAACTGTTTAGTGTAAAAGGAGGAGTTACAAAATCAAAAAAAATAAATTCTACAAATTACACCTGGATTTGTCCATTGACATTTTCTAATGCTTCATTATAAGTTGTATATTTGTTAAATAAACACTGGAACACACATGCATGTTTGTGACGAGAAATGGATTGAAATGTCACAAACCTGTAAAATAAAGTGTGTCCAAGGAAAATAATTTTTAACAGGTTCTTGCCTTCTCCTTTGCAGCCAGAATCCAAACAAGGTTCAGTTTGGTTCAGAAGATTTCAGCCTTACTGGGTATCTGGCCTACAGCGCTACAGACAGAGTTCAGGTGAGCCTAAAGCTTTGGCAAAGAACCACCTTAGTTTCACTTTCTGAAACCTGTGACACAAACCACGAATGTCAGAAGATTTGTAGTTAGGACTGTTGTTCAGAAACCTTGTGTATCTTGTTAATTTAACTAACTGCTATTAATTGGTATTTACAGGGCAAACTTGTGTACGGCAACTATGGGCGTAAAGAGGACCTGGATATCGTGAATAAAAATAAGATTGAGTTAAAAGGCTGCGTGCTGCTCGTCCGTGCTGGAAAGATCAGTTTTGCAGAGCAGGTATGTGTGCATGATGAAGATGGTGTAGGTAGGGCAGCAGAGTGAAGCGTTAGAAAAATGAATTCTACTTGTGAGTAACTCAAATTTAACTGCAACTTTGAGGAAATGGGTTCAGTTACTCACAGCTGGTTGTCAAAGTTTTCTTTAAATTGAAAAACTTTCAATTTAATTCGGCTTAAACTTTTATCTTTTACATTGATCAGCCTTCACTTGGAAGGCTTTGAGATGCATTTACATTAAGGAAGCTGACGAGCAGGTTTTGTTCCAGGAACAAAATTTAGTTTGTTTTTTTTTTGTTTTTTTTTTCCTTCTTTCAGGTGGCCAATGCTGCAGATAGAGGGGCGTCTGCTGTTCTGATCTACCCCGATGAAGCTGATTACAATTATGTAGCTGACACTGTGCTCTATGGACATGTGAGTTTGTAAAATAAGTCAAGTAGGCAGTAAAGTGTTGTTTTGTTATGATAGTGGAATTTTTTTTAATTTTTTTTTCCCCCCTTTACCTGAATCTGTGTTTTCATGTCCCCTTCAGGTCCATCTGGGCTCAGGTGACCCCTACACCCCTGGATTCCCCTCCTTTAACCACACCCAGTTTCCCCCAACTCGGTCATCTGGCCTCCCCAAAATCCCAGCCCAGACTCTCACCCGCAGTGTTGCTGTAAAACTTCTTCAGTAAGGCCACACACAGATCAATGCAGACATGAACAGTGTTCTACAGATTAAGAAACATTCATGTTTACCCACTGTGTGATGACCATGATGATCATGGCTCAGCATCAGTTAAACAGGACAGCTGCCAGACACCTCAGTTCAGTATATATCTGCCACAGTTAAAACTTTTTTCATTTGTGTTCTTTTAGGAAAATTGGTGGTCCTGAACCAGATGAAACAAGTGGTTTTAAAGGTGGATTCAAGCAAGTGTCTTACAGGCTGGGAGGCGTTGAGAACATCACTGTTGAGGTCAACAACAAGCTGGTGAACAAGGAGATCCATAATGTGTTTGGGGTGATCAAAGGATTTGATGATCCTGGTAAGACTAAACTTTTATTTGGCGTGACTTAGCTTTTGCTTAGTCTTAGGCCAAGACGTGTGACATTAAGATGGATTTGTTCATGAATCTGCAGATCGCTACATTGTACTGGGAGCTCAGAGAGATGCCTGGGGTAGCGGCTACGCCAGAGCCACTGTTGGCACCTCAGTACTGGTGCAGCTGGCCAAAGCTTTCCGTGAAATGGTCAAGAATGGTAAGGAATAAAAACAAAATGCTATACAAACAACAGTTGGTGGGACTGGGTACACTGGACTGCAGTGCAAGAAGTATCATGTCGTCTATAGATGGGTTCAGGCCCAGGAGAAGCCTGGTGTTTGCGAGCTGGAGTGCAGGAGAATATGGAAGTGTTGGCGCTACAGAGTGGCTGGAGGTGAGAACTGCATACCTTTTGAAAGGAAATGCCTGCTGTGTTGATAGTGTTTTAACATGCCTCATCTGTTTGTTTGTTT